ATCGACAAGGAGGTTTACGACCTCGATGTTGGATCAGGACATCCTAGTGGTGCAACCGCTACCAAGGGTTCGTTTGTTCAACGATTAATAGTCCTACGTGATCTGAGTTCAGACCGGAGCAATCCAGGTCGGTTTCTATCTATGCTATAACTCCTTCTAGTACGAAAGGACCGAAGAAGTAAGGCCTATGCCACAAGCACGCCTTCGCACCCAGTAATGAACCCAACTGAATTACTCAGAGCTCCACCATATACCTCTTCCTAGAAAAGGACCGCTAGCGTGGCAGAGCTTGGTAAATGCAGAAGGCTTAAGCCCTTTACCCAGAGGTTCAAATCCTCTCCCTAGCTCCACATTAAACATATGGTAGTTCACTCTGCTCTGACTTACCTCATCATATCATTATCCTATGCTCTATCCATCCTCATCGCCGTAGCATTTCTTACCCTAGTTGAACGTAAAGTCTTAAGTTATATACAAGCTCGAAAAGGACCCAACATTGTAGGGCCATTTGGTCTCCTACAGCCCATAGCAGATGGGGTAAAACTATTTATCAAAGAACCAATCCGTCCATCGACTTCATCCCCCTATTTATTTATAGCTACTCCTATCCTAGCCCTTCTCCTAGCAATTACAATCTGAGTACCCCTCCCTCTACCCTTTCCCCTCTCTGACCTGAACCTGGGAATACTTTTCCTCCTAGCCCTATCCAGCCTAGCAGTTTACTCAATCCTATGATCAGGATGAGCTTCCAACTCAAAATATGCCCTAATTGGCGCCCTCCGAGCAGTCGCACAAACCATTTCCTACGAAGTCACCCTGGCTATTATTCTCCTATCTGTAATTATTCTAAGCGGTAACTACACCCTTAACACCCTTGCTACAACTCAAGAACCCCTTTACCTCATTTTCTCCTCCTGACCTTTAGCAATAATATGGTACATCTCCTCACTTGCTGAAACAAATCGTGCCCCATTTGACCTCACAGAGGGGGAATCTGAACTAGTTTCGGGATTTAATGTAGAATATGCCGCAGGCCCATTCGCCTTATTCTTTCTCGCTGAGTATGCCAATATTATACTAATAAATGCACTCACAACCATTTTATTCCTAAATCCTAACTCACTTAACCTCCCTCAAGAGCTCTTCCCTTTGACTCTAGCCACAAAAACCCTTCTCCTTTCCGCAGGCTTCTTATGAATCCGAGCCTCCTACCCTCGATTCCGCTATGATCAACTCATACATTTACTCTGAAAAAACTTCTTACCCCTAACACTAGCCTTATGCCTATGGCACACCAGCCTCCCCATCTCGTATGCAGGCTTACCCCCCTACCTAAGGCACCTCAAGGAAATGTGCCTGAACCTACAAGGGTCACTATGATAAAGTGAACATAGAGGTACACCAATCCTCTCATTTCCTAGACTTAGAAAAGTAGGAATCGAACCTACACTAAAGGAATCAAAATCCTCCATACTCCCTCTATATTATTCTCTAGTAAGGTCAGCTAATTAAGCTATCGGGCCCATACCCCGAAAATGATGGTTCAACCCCTTCCCCTACTAATGAATCCTCAAGCCAAATTAATCTCCACAATAAGCTTACTCCTGGGGACCTCTATTACAATTTCAAGCAACCATTGAATAACAGCATGAGTCGGTTTAGAAATTAATACTCTAGCTATTCTCCCCTTAATCTCTAAAAACCACCACCCACGAGCCATTGAAGCCTCTACTAAGTATTTTCTAACCCAAGCAACCGCATCCACACTGCTCTTATTTTCCAGCATGACCAACGCATGATTTTCTGGCCAATGGGATATCACCCAACTAACCCATCCCATATCATGCATATTATTAACAATTGCAATTTCTATCAAACTAGGCTTAGTCCCATTCCACTTCTGATTTCCAGAAGTCCTTCAAGGTTCTTCCATAACAACATGCCTCCTACTGGCCACAATCATAAAATTTCCACCAATTACCTTATTTTATCTTACCTCCCCATCACTTGACTCTACCCTCCTATCCCTAATAGCTATCGCTTCAGCAGCCCTAGGAGGTTGAATAGGACTTAATCAGACACAAACTCGTAAAGTCTTGGCTTTCTCATCCATCGCTCATCTTGGATGAATAACTATTATTCTCAACTATAACCCCAATCTGACCTTAATTACCTTCTATCTCTACACTATCACAACTTCCGCTATCTTCTTCATTCTTAACACAACCAACACCTTTAAATTATCCACCGTGATAACCACATGAACTAAGATCCCCTCATTATCTACAATTTTTATACTCACCCTCCTCTCCCTCGCAGGTCTCCCTCCTCTGACAGGATTCCTACCTAAATGATTAATTATTCAAGAACTGACTAAACAAGAATTGACTATAACAGCCACAACTATTGCCTTACTCTCCTTACTCGGACTTTTCTTCTACCTACGCCTAGCCTACTGTGCAACCATCACACTACCCCCAAACTCCACTAACTATATAAAACAATGGCAAACTAACAAACCAACCAACCCCCTAACCACAACCTTCACTACTCTATCAATTTTACTCCTACCACTATCCCCCATAATATTCACAATCCCCTAGGAACTTAGGTTATTCAAACCAAAGGCCTTCAAAGCCTTAGATAAGGGTTAATCCCCCTTAGTTCCTGCTAAGATCCACAGGATATTAACCTGTATCTCCTGAATGCAACTCAGATGCTTTAACTAAGCTAGAACCTCTTCCTAGACAGATGGGCCTTGATCCCATAAAACTTTAGTTAACAGCTAAATGCCCTAACCAACAGGCTTCTGCCTACCAGATTCCGGCGCATATCTAATGCACATCAATGAGCTTGCAACTCAACATGAACTTCACTACAGAATCGATAAGAAGAGGAATCAAACCTCTGTAAAAAGGACTACAGCCTAACGCTTCAACACTCAGCCATCTTACCTATGACTTTCATCAACCGTTGATTATTCTCCACCAATCACAAAGATATCGGCACACTCTACCTTATTTTTGGTGCATGAGCTGGTATAATCGGCACAGCCCTAAGCCTTCTTATTCGAGCAGAATTAGGACAACCGGGAACCCTTTTAGGTGACGACCAAATCTATAATGTAATCGTCACCGCACATGCCTTTGTTATAATTTTCTTCATAGTAATACCCATTATAATCGGAGGGTTTGGCAATTGACTAGTTCCATTAATAATTGGTGCCCCCGATATAGCATTCCCTCGAATAAATAATATAAGCTTCTGACTTCTTCCCCCATCCTTTCTCCTACTCCTAGCATCCTCTACAGTAGAAGCCGGGGCTGGAACAGGATGAACAGTATACCCACCCCTAGCTGGAAATCTAGCCCACGCAGGCGCATCAGTAGACCTCGCCATCTTCTCTCTTCACCTAGCAGGTGTCTCTTCCATTCTCGGAGCAATCAACTTTATCACTACGGCAATTAATATAAAACCACCTGCCCTTTCACAATACCAAACCCCCTTATTCGTTTGATCCGTCTTAATTACTGCAGTATTACTTCTCCTCTCTCTACCAGTCCTCGCCGCTGGCATTACAATACTCCTAACAGACCGTAACCTAAACACCACATTCTTCGACCCTGCAGGAGGCGGAGACCCAATTTTATACCAACACTTATTCTGGTTTTTCGGCCATCCAGAAGTCTACATTCTTATCTTACCAGGATTCGGAATTATCTCCCATGTCGTAGCCTACTACGCTGGAAAAAAAGAACCTTTTGGCTACATAGGCATAGTCTGAGCCATACTATCCATTGGCTTCCTAGGCTTCATTGTATGAGCTCATCACATATTCACAGTTGGAATAGACGTAGACACCCGAGCCTACTTTACATCCGCCACCATAATTATTGCAATTCCTACTGGCATTAAAGTCTTCAGCTGACTCGCTACTCTGCACGGCGGAACAATTAAATGAGACCCACCTATACTATGAGCCCTAGGCTTTATCTTCCTTTTCACCATTGGTGGACTAACAGGCATCGTTCTCGCCAACTCCTCTCTAGACATTGCTTTACATGACACATATTATGTAGTTGCACACTTCCACTATGTCCTATCCATAGGAGCAGTATTTGCCATTTTAGCTGGCTTTACACATTGATTCCCTCTCTTCACAGGCTATACCCTTCACACTACATGAGCCAAAGCCCACTTTGGAGTAATATTCTTTGGAGTTAACCTAACATTCTTTCCACAACATTTCCTAGGCCTTGCTGGCATACCACGACGATACTCAGATTACCCAGATGCTTACACCCTATGAAATACCTTATCCTCCATCGGCTCTCTCATCTCCATAGTTGCCGTGATTATACTAATATTTATTATCTGAGAAGCCCTTGCATCCAAACGTAAAGTAGTACAGCCAGAACTTACTTCCACAAACATTGAATGAATTCACGGCTGCCCTCCCCCCTACCATACCTTCGAAGAACCAGCTTTTGTTCAAGTACAAGAAAGGAAGGAGTCGAACCCTCACAAGCTGGTTTCAAGCCAACCGCATCAAACCACTCATGCTTCTTTCTTATGGGTTGTTAGTAAAACCATTACATAGTCTTGTCAAGACTAAATCACAGGTGAAAACCCAGTACATCCCATCTCCCAAACTATGGCCAATCACTCTCAACTTGGTTTTCAAGACGCCTCATCCCCTATTATAGAAGAACTTATTGAATTTCACGACCACGCCCTAATAGTCGCACTAGCCATTTGTAGCCTAGTCCTATACCTCCTAGCTCTTATACTCAT